TTGATACCCCACCCTCCTCATTTAGCCACTCAACTATTGATACCCCACCCTCCTCATTTAGCCACTCAACTATTGATACCCCACCCTCCTCATTTAGCCACTCAACTATTGATACCCCACCCTCCTCATTTAGCCACTCAACTATTGATACCCCACCCTCCTCATTTAGCCACTCAACTATTGATACCCCACCCTCCTCATTTAGCCACTCAACTATTGATACCCCACCCTCCTCATTTAGCCACTCAACTATTGATACCCCACCCTCCTCATTTAGCCACTCAACTATTGATACCCCACCCTCCTCATTTAGCCACTCAACTATTGATACCCCACCCTCCTCATTTAGCCACTCAACTATTGATACCCCACCCTCCTCATTTAGCCACTCAACTATTGATACCCCACCCTCCTCATTTAGCCACTCAACTATTGATACCCCACCCTCCTCATTTAGCCACTCAACTATTGATACCCCACCCTCCTCATTTAGCCACTCAACTATTGATACCCCACCCTCCTCATTTAGCCACTCAACTATTGATACCCCACCCTCCTCATTTAGCCACTCAACTATTGATACCCCACCCTCCTCATTTAGCCACTCAACTATTGATACCCCACCCTCCTCATTTAGCCACTCAACTATTGATACCCCATCCTCCTCATTTAGCCACTCAACTATTGATACCCCACCCTCCTCATTTAGCCACTCAACTATTGATACCCCACCCTCCTCATTTAGCCACTCAACTATTGATACCCCACCCTCCTCATTTAGCCACTCAACTATTGATACCCCACCCTCCTCATTTAGCCACTCAACTATTGATACCCCACCCTCCTCATTTAGCCACTCAACTATTGATACCCCACCCTCCTCATTTAGCCACTCAACTATTGATACCCCATCCTCCTCATTTAGCCACTCAACTATTGATACCCCACCCTCCTCATTTAGCCACTCAACTATTGATACCCCACCCTCCTCATTTAGCCACTCAACTATTGATACCCCACCCTCCTCATTTAGCCACTCAACTATTGATACCCCACCCTCCTCATTTAGCCACTCAACTATTGATACCCCACCCTCCTCATTTAGCCACTCAACTATTGATACCCCACCCTCCTCATTTAGCCACTCAACTATTGATACCCCACCCTCCTCATTTAGCCACTCAACTATTGATACCCCACCCTCCTCATTTAGCCACTCAACTATTGATACCCCACCCTCCTCATTTAGCCACTCAACTATTGATACCCCATCCTCCTCATTTAGCCACTCAACTATTGATACCCCACCCTCCTCATTTAGCCACTCAACTATTGATACCCCACCCTCCTCATTTAGCCACTCAACTATTGATACCCCACCCTCCTCATTTAGCCACTCAACTATTGATACCCCACCCTCCTCATTTAGCCAATGACTCTATGGGAGTCACGTGACTCGTTGTGTCACCGGTGATGTATGGGGCTGCTGCAATGGTGACACGAGCAAGTGGTGAGACCTATGGATCTATTTGGTGACTTGATCTATTTGGTGATCTATTCGGTAACTTGTTGCCTACCTAGAATTCAATGGTTGGCAAATGCATGTGCATGTCTTTGATCTTTGAAGATCAATTGTTCCAAGATCAATTGTGTATTCCTAAAAGTTCATTGTGTATGATATATGTGATCGCAGTATCCTATTAGCCGTACACGATGATCCATCATGAGAAATGTGACTTCCGGTGGCGCATTATGTGAGACAAGCAATTCAATCCAGGGCGCGAGTAATTCCCCTCATGGCGCCCTAATTGCCATCACAGGGGCGCCTAATTGCCATCACTGGGGCGCCGGCTCCCTTAGATATATGAAGCCCTGCTTCACAAGATATGCTCCCCGCACTCGTCGTTACAAAACTGGACGGTCTCAATTTGATGAGTTAACTCAGAGAATTTGTGACAGTCTCTACCTGTGACAGTGTTACCTGTGACAGTGTTACCTGTGACAGTGTTACCTGTGACAGTGTTACCTGTGACAGTGCTACCTGTGACAGTGCTACCTGCCCCAACCAGCCTGCACGGGTAGCTACATCAACCACTGGTCTTGTCGGATATGAAGGTCAAGGTCATAGTGAAATATGACTTTCTGTGGCGGGGCAATATTTCTGTGATATCCATTAATTGTCAGGGAGTCGTGGTTTGCGGGGGAGGGGAGGGGAAGGGGTAAGGATGGGGAGGGACCCGGTTCCAATACGATAGTGACGTCACGGTGAGTCACTGGCAAGGTGCTCGTAAATTAGGACAATTCCAATACTGTCGGATGGGGTGGGGGGGGGGGGCGAGCTCAATATTCTTTTAGCGACAGTTGGGCTGGGGTCAAGTTGTAGGCCGCACCGTGCCAGGCATATGGGCCTCGGTGGAATTTGATCGAGGGGGGGGGGGGAGGGGCGGGGCGGGGGAAAATGAAGAAAAAACATCAGGGGTGTGGGGATCATAACTGGAAAACAGTGAATGTGTGTGTGGGGAAGGGGTCATAACTGAAACATGGATAGCACCGTGTTAGTGGAACCAGAAGAGGCGACAGCACAGAGTTGTTCCGCTCTACATTTCAATTTTCCAGTTCTGTTGATGGTTCTCTAACAAGGTAGTTCATACTTCTAACGTCTAATCTTCACGTAACACGATGCTCGCAGAAGGCCAGAATTCATTCAACTGTAAACATTTGTTTACACTGTCTCAAATATAACTGTAAAATCACCTTTATGTGTGTATGCGTGTGAGTATTTGTGTGTTTTTATATGCGTGTGAGAGAGAATCTGAGGATAGAGACACTCCCCGCCCCCCCCCCCCTCCGCTACCCACTTCCAATTTTCTACAGTATTTGGCTAGTGACGACCATGTCGCCTATTGTCCACTCTTGTCCAGTCTACTACAATATGCTTCCCCCCCCCCCCCCCCCCACGGACACACTAATCGTGACATGTTTATGTGTCACGTGTAAATCACGTGACGATCACGTCAGTTGACGGCCGTGTCTCTAAATGGCCCACGAGTTATTGGCCTTGGCCGTCTTCTCGTGGTAACATATGGCCGTTTGATTACATATGGCAGATGTAATGACGATGGATGTAATTGTAATGGCACATGCGTGAATGATATATGTAACTGTAACGGGACATGTAAGAGTGATGTACTGGCACATGTTTGAGGAACATGTATGTATACATTATGGGCAGGCGAAGACATACATCTGTTACTGACAACATACATTCTGATTTGAGGGGGGGGGGGGAGCCATTATGTTTGTCTGTAGCTGCTGGCTTGGTGGTTCTATCTCCCCTCATGTCTGTATGGCGTGTATTGTAGGTTCTATCTCCCCTCATGTCTGTATAGCGCGTATGGCAGATTCTTGAAAGTGTTCATTTGGCAGGTGGATTCAACTGATTTTTAATGAAGTGAATATGTGGTAAATTTTATGACAATATGTGATACATTTTATGACAATATGCGATACATTTTATGACAATAACTACACACAAACCATTACATCACCCTCCCAGTTACATCAGCAGTCTTACAACTGAACAATGACGTCACAGTCACCCAGTTTACCGAGTTGGTTAATGACAATTATTAAACGTCACATGCTAATGAGAGCAATTAAACTGTTTGCTAGAATTAACTTAATGTCTAGCCAGGAGCAGACAACTATCGATCACATTGCAAACTATTTCATATGTATAGAAGACACGTCATTTCTTTATACCAAGGTGTGCTGTTCTCAAGGTCCCAGGACTAAATGTTCTAGACAAAATATCTTCCATAAAAAAATTATTTTAGACAAAATAATTTCCAAAAATATTTTTGACAAAATATCTTAGACAAAATAATTTCGACAAATATTTTTGACATAATATCTTAAAAAATATCTTACACGAAATATCTTAAACAAAGTATGTTGAATCTTAGACAAAATATCTTCTTTTGACATAATATCTTGTAGGGAGTGCATATAAGTGAGTTGGGTTGAGGGTGGGGTAGTGGTGAGTGCAAATGAGGGCTCGATATGTATCATGTTAGGGACGGGGGGGGGGGGGGGGGACGGAGGAGAATGGGGAATTATCACGGTTTTGTAATCATAATCATCCCTAACACACACCACACACCACACACCACACACCACACACCACACACCACACACCACACACTAAGACACTTATACGTCATCCATTTTTTGAGGTAGATCCCCTCACATTAACCGCCCCCCCCCCCCCCACAAACACACACCACGATCACATTCTATGCTACATGCAGTAACATATACACATTGCGTCATCTCACACACCCCACACATTGAGACCCACTCATTATGCCACCCACAGATACCGCTACTCCTCACAATATGAGACACACTGGAAACTTACACCCCCACACTATGACCCCCCCCCCCCCCCCACACACACACCCACAGGACTCAAGTGGTCAAGACAAACGGCCAGAGTGCCACCCCCCCCCCCTCTCCTAACACCCCTTAAAATCACCCGGCCCGCGGTGATGGCCGATTAGCTGGTCAGCCGTTCGATGAATCGATCCCTGAGCAGACGTGGCCGTCAAGGGGGGTAAAGCCAGGTGCGAGACCCGAGGAAATAATGGCCGTCTGTGTCACGTGATCGCCAATTGTCTCCCCTTGACTCGCCAAACAAACAGCTCACGTCGATTTATTTGTCTTGTGTAACTGATTGCCGTTCTATTGGAAGGTCACTTGAAGGTCATCTAAAGGTCAAGTACATTCCAGACGTCGACTTACGGTACTTAGTTCTGTTGAGGAAAAAGATCATTGTTTAATGGAACGGGTTCGAATCCGAACCAGAAGACCATTTTTTTTTGGACAATAAATCAGAAAAGCGGCTACGGTAAAAATGAAAACAGATTCTAAATTAATTAATTGCTTGATTGGTGGACGGCGTTAACTAACGAACCTAGAATAATTTTGACACGCACTAGGAAAGATGAACTTAGAAGATCTTTGACACGCACTAAGAAAGATGAACCTAGATATTTGACACGCACTAAGAAAGATGAACCTAGAAGATCTTTGACACGCATTAAGAAAGATGAACCTAGAAGATCTTTGACACGCATTAAGAAAGATGAACCTAGAAGATCTTTGACACGCATTAAGAAAGATGAACCTAGAAGATCTTTGACACGCTCTAGGAAAGATGAACCTAGAAGATCTTTGACACGCTCTAGGAAAGATGAACCTAGAAGATCTTTGACACGCTCTAGGAAAGATGAACCTAGATCTTTGACACGCACTAGGAAAGATGAACTTAGAAGATCTTTGACACGCACTAAGAAAGATGAACATAGAAGATCTTTGACACGCACTAAGAAAGATGAACCTAGAAGATCTTTGACACGCATTAAGAAAGATGAACCTAGAAGATCTTTGACACGCATTAAGAAAGATGAACCTAGAAGATCTTTGACACGCATTAAGAAAGATGAACCTAGAAGATCTTTGACACGCTCTAGGAAAGATGAAACTAGAAGATCTTTGACACGCACTAGGAAAGATGAACCTAGAAGATCTTTGAAACGCACTAGGAAAGATGAACCTAGAAGATCTTTGACACGCTCTAGGAAAGATGAACCTAGAAGATCTTTGACACGCTCTAGGAAAGATGAACCTAGAAGATCTTTGACACGCACTAGGAAAGATGAACCTAGAAGATCTTTGACACGCACTAGGAAAGATGAAGCTAGAAGATCTTTGACACGCATTAAGAAAGATGAACCTAGAAGATCTTTGACACGCTCTAGGAAAGATGAACCTAGAAGATCTTTGACACGCACTAGGAAAGATGAACCTAGAAGATCTTTGACACGCACTAGGAAAGATGAACCTAGAAGATCTTTGACACGCTCTAGGAAAGATGAACCTAGAAGATCTTTGACACGCTCTAGGAAAGATGAACCTAGAAGATCTTTGACACGCTCTAGGAAAGATGAACCTAGAAGATCTTGGACACGCACTAGGACAGATGAACCTAGATATTTAACACGCACTAAGAAAGATGAACCTAGAAGATCTTTGATACGCTCTAGGAAAGATGAACCTAGAAGATCTTTGACACGCACTAGGAAAGATGAACCTAGAAGATCTTTGACACGCTCTAGGAAAGATGAACCTAGAAGATCTTGGACACGCACTAGGACAGATGAACCTAGAAGATCTTTGACACGCATTAAGAAAGATGAACCTAGAAGATCTTTGACACGCTCTAGGAAAGATGAACCTAGAAGATCTTTGACACGCACTAGGAAAGATGAACCTAGAAGATCTTTGACACGCACTAGGAAAGATGAACCTAGAAGATCTTTGACACGCTCTAAGAAAGATGAACCTAGAAGATCTTTGACACGCACTAGGAAAGATGAACCTAGAAGATCTTTGACACGCTCTAGGAAAGATGAACCTAGAAGATCTTGGACACGCACTAGGACAGATGAACCTAGATATTTAACACGCACTAAGAAAGATGAACCTAGAAGATCTTTGATACGCTCTAGGAAAGATGAACCTAGAAGATCTTTGACACGCACTAGGAAAGATGAACCTAGAAGATCTTTGACACGCTCTAGGAAAGATGAACCTAGAAGATCTTGGACACGCACTAGGACAGATGAACCTTCATCTTTGACACGCACTAGGAAAGATAAACCTAGAAAAGTAATAACAATTAAGCTGAGTTGGTGGAGGTATGGCATTTTGATAGGGCCAAAATATTTAGGGCCTTCAAACCAGGTAGTTGTCCGCTGTGAATCTTTGGGTGATAGCACTAGTAGCACCAGATTGTGACAGTAGCACCAGTAGCACTACATTGTGACACTAGCACCAGTAGCACCAGATTGTGACACTAGCATCAGTAGCACCAGATTGTGACACTAGGATATCACCAGTAGCACCAGATTGTGACACTAGCACCAGTAGCACCAGATTGTGACACTAGCACTAGTAGCACAAGATTGTGACACTAGCACCAGTAGCACCAGATTGTGACACTAGCACCAGTAGCACCAGATTGTGACACTAGCACCAGTAGCACCAGATTGTGACACCAGCACCAGTAGCACCAGATTGTGACACTAGCACCAGTAGCACCAGATTGTAACAATAGCACCAGTAGCACCAGATTGTGACACTAGGATAGCACTAGTAGCACCAGATTGTGACACTAGGATAGCACCAGTAGCACCAGATTGTGACACTAGGATAGCACCAGTAGCACCAGATTCTGACACTAGGATATCACCAGTAGCACCAGATTGTGACACTAGCACCAGTAGCACCAGATTGTGACACTAGGATAGCACCAGTAGCACCAGATTGTGACACTAGCACTAGTAGCACCAGATTGTGACACTAGGATAGCACTAGTAGCACCAGATTGTGACACTAGGATAGCACCAGTAGCACCAGATTGTGACACTAGGATAGCACTAGTAGCACCAGAATTCGACGAAGTCAGTTTTACTGCTGTGGTGTCGGCCACGTTAATCACGTGATATTTTGTTCAAACGTTGTATGTGTTTGTATATATGTGTGTGTGTGTGTATGTGGTATTTTACCACAAGTTATAGAGGAAAACAGATCGTGATATACGCCAATGTTTTAAAACCACCTAACATGTGGCGAATAAATTCTTCCATTTTTATTGCAATTAGCGAGGATTATCTTTCCCTGGGAATATTTTTATCCCAGTGAGGAATTCAATTTGTCGTCTGCGGGCGGCCTACTGAGGGCACAGTTAAATAAACAAGGTCTGGATGTGTGGGGATTAACGGCCCACGACCAACTGGCCATGATGGCCCGCGACCAACTGGCCATGATGGCCCATAAAGCAGTGGACGAAGCGCGCGAGTTTACGAGCCATCAAACGGCCAACAGAAACCGTTACGTCTGCCGGGTCTCCTGCGTCATTCAAGGCCGGCACCTTGCCGGTCGTAAAGTTGCCGGCAACGGTCAGTTAGTGCTTCTATGCCGGTATAAATCATGGGGAGATGACCGGGAGATCATAGAACTGTCCTGACAGTTACGTGCTGTAAACCGGACGGACAGGCCCGTATGTCCGTCCCCCACCTGGTGTGGAGAATCCCAGTTTTGTCCGCCTGTGACGTCATTTCCGTGGTTGAATGATCGCGTCCGTCGGTTACTGAAAGTGACCATTAATCCGGCTGGGAGAGGCAATTAAAGAGACCAACACGGGGAACATACGGGCAGCGAGGTCCCCCCCCCCCCACACACACACACGGGGAACATACGGGCAGCGAGGTCCCCCCCCCCCTCCCCCCTCACACACACACACACACAACGGGAAACATTGGGGCAACAAGGTGAGTTATGTCCCTTGACAGCCACTACAAGGTGAAGGTCACAAGTGACATGTTTAAAACATTCCCACGTGTACAGCTCTGGTCATTTAATGTCCAAGCCACGTCACATGTCTGAGTGACGTATTGCAAGATTTAATGAGAGCCTGGCCAACAGTTTAACCATTATAGGACTAGAACTTACAACATTCCGTACATGCAAAGGCCGGTAACTCTAGGTTTAAATGCCAGTGTGTGAAAGGGGAGGCAGTCACAGACTTGAAGGTTCATGAACAGATGCATTCTAATGGCATTTTGTTTAAGAAAAGCTTGGGATTGTTATCGAGAAATATTAATTTGCAACTGATACAGATCTAAACATTATCAAGCAAATGAAGCACATTCTTTTAACTGGGGCTTATATAATAAATATAAAGCTAATTACATTTGTTATTGACGTGTTTTGTACTACATTAACAGTCAGTAGTCACGTGTTTAGCAGACATTTGGTACCTAGTTGAATGTCCAGTATTAGTGAATGCCGCCGACAAGTTGAGGGGTGTACATGGAGAATATCAATTGGAAGAGATTGTTTAAAAATGTATCGGACCATGTTTCTTGATCAACTTGTGGCCATCCAGTAGCTGGCCTGTTCTGGGCCATCTTGTACAAGGCCAACCGATTGCCCAGTTTGACCAAGCACCTAATTTTTCTAGCTAATTTTTTTCTAGTTTTGTTCTATGTTTGTTCTACTTTTGTTCTAGCTTTGTTCTAGTTGTATTCTAGATGTCTTCTATCTGTGCTCTAAGTGTTCTATGTTTGTTCTATGTTTGTTCTAATTGTATTATAAATGTCTTCTATCTGTTCTCTAAGTGTTCTATGTTTATTCCATGTTTGTTCTAGTTGTATTCTAAATGTCTTCTATCTGTGCCCTAAGTGTTCTATGTTTGTTCTAGACCATGTACCCGATAAGACTCAGCCCCACCCCACGCGACCCCAGAGATTACTTTGGTTCCAGTCAAATAAAAAACTACCTCAGACGTTTAGCAAAAGTATTATCTCGATGTAGACAAAGGAGGCAACTCTGTAGTAGAGTACAGGCCCTTTGTTTGATCCAACTTATAAACGAAACCAATTCTTGTTTCCGGTTACAGTCACTTCCGCATTAGGAACCCGGCGAGGATAAACTGGAAATAAATGTTTATTTTTCCTCCCGCGTATTTGGGCTTATCAATCTCTCCAGGACAAACACCTCGCTCGCCGGATGGTTTGTTCTTTCATTCAACCGTTTGTAATCTAGACCATCTCCCCACACACCACTCACACCCACTCACACCCACACACACACCCACACTCACACCCACACACACCACACACCGTCATGTAAACCTCGGCTGCTTATTTCTCTAGGTCCCCGCGACTTGAAATAACTTCTGTGTGTGTGTGTGTGTGTCTGTGTGTGTCTGTGTGTGTGTGTGTGTGTGTGTGTGTGTCTGTGTGTGTGTGTGTGTGTGTGCCTAACCTTTCCGCCCGGTCCCGGGGGACGGGCCGGCCATGTTTCTGGGACCCCCATCGATTCCAGCAGTGTGGCTCTACCCTGGCGAGAAACGCCGAGACTTGCGGCCGTTCAACAACGTAACAGCCGCCGGTTTAAGGGGTATAATGACGTCATTATGTAACCGTGACTGTTTGGTTTAGAGAGTAGCCAGAAATAGCCAGGATGTATCAAGTGGGAGAAACACAAAGACTGGATTTGTTTGTGTTCAAATAGAAAGGAAACAATGGTGGCCAGGTACACAGTACACAAAGGGTACACATTATGACCAGGTACACAGTACACAAAGGGTATACATTATGGCCAGGTACACAGTACACAAAGGGTATACATTATGGCCAGGTACACAGTACACAAAGGGTATACATTATGGCCAGGTACACAGTACACAAAGGGTATACATTATGGCCAGGTACACAGTACACACAGGGTATACATTATGGCCAGGTACACAGTACACAAAGGGTATACATTATGGCCAGGTACACAGTACACAAAGGGTATACATTATGGCCAGGTACACAGTACACAAAGGGTATACATTATGGCCAGGTACACAGTACACAAAGGGTATACATTATGGCCAGGTACTCAGTACACAAAGGGTATACATTATGGCCAGGTACACAGTACACAAAGGGTATACATTATGGCCAGGTACTCAGTACACAAAGGGTATACATTATGGCCAGGTACACAGTACACAAGGGGTATACATTATGGCCAGGTACACAGTACACAAAGGGTATACATTATGGCCAGGTACACAGTACACAAAGGGTATACATTATGGCCAGGTACACAGTACACACAGGGTATACATTATGGCAAGGTACACAGTACACACAAGAGATAAGCCAACAAGATGGAAGGTGGGGTTGGTTGGTGGGTGAGGGGATGATTTCATCTACCGGAAAGAATATAGGATTGTGGGATTGTGAGTATATGTGTTGTGTGTACAATGACTCACCCAACACTTAAAACCACGACGTTAAAGCCACTATAAAGCTATCGACCCCACCACTATAACCCATGTTTGTTTACACAGAACATTTGAAGGCGGAAGTCTTGTGCTTGTTCAGAAAATTCTAAAACAATTGGACGGAGTTGAGATTTATTTATTGGTGTATTTGAGGCTTTAATCAAAGCTTTTCGGGTTGACTAAAAGTTGGTGGGCCGCTTACTTGGTGGGCCGCTTACTTGGTGGGCCGCTTACTTGGTGGGCCGCTTACTTGGTGGGCCACTTACTTGGTTGGCCACTGAGTGGGCTAGCCAGTTGGTGGTTGACTAAGTTGTCCACCATATTTGTGAGCATCTCACGTCATGTCCCCCCCCCCCCCCCACACACACCTTAACTTCCTGCAGCCCTCCCCATGTTGATGTAGAAACCAGGTTCACAAAGTGTTATTTTAAATGTAAGCCAAACTATTTCACACATATCTGAATCAAAGCTTTGATGATAAACAAAGATAGTCAATGTAAGAGACGTGTGTAGGGTACCACGTGATATAATGTAAGCCTACGTGATGTAAGGAAGGTGTAAGATAAAAAAAAACAGGAGATGACGTAGTTTGTAGCATCTCAGTTCCCCATCACATTCATATCTTTACAGACAATGTAATGTTTGTGTACAGAAATATTTTGGGTGCTGTAACATTAATGTATCTGGTAGAGATCTGGGTCATTATCTGGTAGAAAGCTGGGTCATTATCTGGTAGAGATCTGGGTCATTATCTGGGTCATTAATATATCTTGGGTCATAATGTACCTGGTAGATATATGTGCCATTAATGTATCTGGACATCTAAAGCCATGGCTCAGAAATTACATAACCCACACGAACGCTGCCAGCGATAATCTCTAAGACTAAAGGTCAAGGTGAGTAAAAAGCATCGGGTAAACAATAGTTATAGGTTGTAGCAGACGGCACACGAGAATCTGCCGGCATATCCGATAAGCCGGCAGGCCGGCATACACGGCAAGCCGGCAAACAGGCGTAACTTTTATCCTGTGACTTCTATCCTGTGACTTTTATCCTGTGACTTTTATCCTAAGACTCGAGACTGTGGGCACAACGTCACAGCTGAAGGTGCTATTGAGATCTGCTGATGCTGTTGTGACGCCCTGTGACTCGATCAACTGTGACTCTCTCTTTCCTGACTCCGCTGCCCCCACCACTGGACAGACCAAGACTGTGGCCAATCTATTATCACCTGTCACAGGTGTTATCTGCCTGATGTTATTTAGACCTGTCACAGGTCTAATCTGACTGATATAATTTTGACCTGTTTGACTTTAAAAAAACGTGTCAAATCTGACTTATGTAATTTTGACCTGCTTGACTTATAAGACAAGTCTGATCTGACTGATGTAATTTGTGATAGGAACGATTTATTTCCAAACTTATAATTCCCCGTGTGATGGACGGAGCAATCGATACACACATTCAATCAAACAAGGTTCGATTATGGAGCAGATTTCAAATGTAAATCTTTTATTAAATACAAAAAAAAGGAGGCGGTATATAATTAAATTGGGGGTGTTTTTATGTTTTAATTTTAAGTTGGATTCCCGCGATATGGAGGGGTGGGGGTGAGGGGGGTGTCCTCCATCCTACATCTCATTAAATCCAACTCATCCGCACTTCTTAAAACTCGATCCTGTCTCTCCCAGGGGACGCTACCCTGCCAATAGTTGGGGGAGGGGAGGGTGGGGTGATTTATTCTAGCATCGTCTCTTTTGCCTTCCCTTTCTCAAGAATAATTTCTCCATCAATACAAGACATGGGGTGAAGGAGCCGCCCTAACCCCCCCCCCCCCCCACACACACACACTAGCTAGAGCCTGGGCCATGTACATAAACAGGAGTGGCTAGCCATTTTGTGACGTTTACGAGAAAATATACCCTCGTAATTTCATCTTCTTCCTCGCTTAGCGTGGGTATACAGCCGGCCTGGTCAGGGGCATTAATCCAGACAGATGTAATTGGGATATTTCTGCTTGGTGCTAGACGCGAGTCATCATTAAATAGACGCAAGTCATCATTAACTAGACGCAAGTCATTATTAAATAGACGCAAGTCATCATTAACTAGACGCAAGTCATTATTAAATAGACGCAAGTCATCATTAACTAGACGCAAGTCATTATTAAATAGACGCAAGTCATCATTAAATAGACGCAAGTCATCATTAACTAGACGCAAGTCATCATTAACTAGACGCAAGTCATCATTAACTAGACGCAAGTCATCATTAAATAGACGCAAGTCATCATTAACTAGACGCAAGTCATTATTAAATAGACGCAAGTCATCATTAACTAGACGCAAGTCATTATTAAATAGACGCAAGTCATCATTAAATAGACGCAAGTCATCATTAACTAGACGCAAGTCATCATTAACTAGACGCAAGTCATCATTAACTAGACGCAAGTCATCATTAACTAGACGCAAGTCATCATTAAATAGACGCAAGTCATCATTAAATAGACGCAAGTCATCATTAAATAGACGCAAGTCATCATTAACTAAATCCGAGAAAATATTAATTAGGCGTTAATCTAAATTAACATGAATGAGGTCATTAAAAACTAGACGCAAATCATTATTATCTAGACGCGAGTCATTATTATTTAGATGCGAGTCATTATGACTTAGATGAGAGTCATTATCAAAACGACCAGATTTATTTGTGAGACTGTTGTTTCTCTACTCTCGAACAAACTTACTGCAACAAACCATTGATGACGTCATATAACCGGAAGCGGAGAGTTCTATCGTCGTCCCCCCCCCCCCCAGTGAAATTGGAATTGTCAGAAAGCTGGAATATTTGTTTGCGTCCCGACTTTCTTCATGCTGTGGCTAGATCTAAAACGGCTGACCTTTGAACCCCAATCATTTATAAGACCCGGGCAGAGTTATCTAAACTAGCAGGGGAAATGGAGAATTTACAGGGAGGTAAGAAAAACGGGGAATCATTTGATTTTTAATCTCGTTTTATTGATGGGATTTACGATAGGCGATAGATATCACTTTACTCACGATAATGATATTAGATGCGCCAAGAACACTCGACTGACTGGAGGGGTAAATGCATCCAATATATATGTATTTTATTCTCTACGGTACCGCTGGTTACATCTACTTCAACACTTAACCTTTGCCCTAACCCTTACGGTTCAAAGTTCATCAAGGTGGAATTTGCTATTTAATGGTGAGGTGTTTGATATAAGTTCGTGTCATAATTACATTTGTTGAGTGATCCGTCTGATAATACATTTGTTGAGTGATCCGTCTGATAATACATTTGTTGAGTGATCCGTCTGATAATACATTTGTTGAGTGATCCGTCTGATAATACATTTGTTGAGTGATCCGTCTGATAATACATTTGTTGAGTGACCCGTCTGATTATACAGTAGTTGAGTGACCCGTCTGATAATACATTCGTTGAGTGATCCGTGCCATAATTACAGTTTTGGTGCCCCGAAAGCTTCTAGCTCCATTATCAGGCCGAATCAAAAGGACGTCCCTGAGTTCATCCAGCTCTAATTGGTACCTGACTCAGGTCGGGAGAACTTAAGTCGCATAAAAACTAACCGTACAATCCATGCATATGTGTAGATCAGGTAACAGGCAAACTCTACTTCATCTGCCGTTTGGATCGTAATGGCAAAGGTCAAGATAATTTTAAACCCAATAGCAATTAATCTAAATGTGATGTCTTTGTTCTGAAGCTTGAGAGACTGATGCTGTAATCGGTTCAAGTGTTTGTGTTGGCGATATGCCCTAAACACCCAATGAACCCGTCTATTCGTAAGTCTAAATGTGTTTATCTTTACTGTTATCTAACTCTAGAGATCAGAGTTAAAAATATCTCGGCTCTACATACACAAGATGTTGACGAATGTTCTAAAAACAATTTGAAAAAATCCCATTTGTCCACAGAGAAAGCTCTGCTGGGTGTAACAGTGCCTGTCTTGTGTGGGCTATCTCGGCGATTATTTGACGGAGGAACACTGGTTCCTTTCTGTGCCAGCCTCTCCCAGGCCAGGGTTCCCCGCTGCAGACACTGGCACTGGTTTGACGAGCTTGTGCCTATCAGATCCGTATCAGCACGGGGAGGTCGAGGTCTGCTTGCTATTTTAAGGCGGGCGGCCCGGCCAGGGAACAGGGCTTTTATTAAGTTGCTTTGACGAAAGTGATACATCTGTGGCGGGTATCTGGGGGACAACTCACGCTCAATGATAGGGGCTTGCAGCTTAGCTGCTGCAGAATAGTGGTCGTATTGTTTTCCTCACCCTGCGTCCCACGGAGGTGCTGGGGCGGGGTGGGGGAGGGGGAGGGGGTAGGCAGACAGGAAATCAATTCCAGAAAAATTTTAAGTTGTGTGAATGCGTGTGGGGTGTGTGAGTGTATATGTATATGTGTGTGTTTGTGATCTAAATTCAAGTTTAAACGTGTGAGAAAGTTTCAGATGAAGCCAAATCTAGGTCAGGGGTTGGGGAGGGGGGGGGGGGGCGTAGAGAGAAGGCGTGGTTGTTGTGACGCATTATTTTGATAATTTTTCTGTTTTGCAAATTATGTTTAAATTTTATCTTTATATTCAACATGTTTTTTTTTTTGTATTACCGTTGTGTAGGGAGGTTAAGGGGGGTTAAGGCTGCTCCAAAAATCTGGAATGTCAGATTTTTAACTCGTGACTCAGGACTGTATTAATTTTTTTAACTCGTGACTCATGACCCGAGTGACCAATGCACGTGATGGTCAGATAGAAAACATGGCTGAGAGTGAGCAGCTCAATGGGCCATTTGACCCGAGAAAACGGAGCAGATTGGCACACGATACGGACTCCAACAAGCCGTAGATAAACTCAGGGCTCAAGATAGGCTCACTAAAGATGGCTCAAGATGGCTCACTAAAGATGGCTCAAGATGGCCCTGAAATGATGGGTTGCGCGTGTCCGCAGTGACTGACCACGTGACCTGAGACTTTATGAATATTTGATGTGAAAGGCATATGAGCGTGATGGGCATTGGATGAAATGGCACCAGGATGTACTCGGCAGATTGTAGGACATTTCGATGCTAATCAGGACATAGGTTTATGCTGGTAGGACCATTGGCGACACTAGAGGGGGGGGGGCTTATAGAGGGGGAGGGGAGTTGTATGACTTCATTAGAGGGGGAGGGGGGGTGTATGAATTCATAATACGGGGGTAGTTTGTGTTGTATGACTTCATTAAAAATCACGTTTGATTATTGACTTTACAAAAGTGACTCTTAAGTTGGGCTGATTAGGTGGGCTGATTAGGTGGGCTGGTTAGGGGGGCTGGTTAGGTAGGCTGGTTAGGTGGGCTGATTAGTTGGGCTGATTAGGTGGGCTGATTAGGTTTTCAGATTGACTTAATTATTTATACTTGCTCTTGACTTAAGTACTTATATTGAAACTTGACTTAATCAACGCACTTGGAAATAAATACGTTTGCAAACAAACATAAAACAAGTTTAGCTCATCAATTCTCCTGATATTCATGTCAATCTAGCTTTAATAAAAGGCCAAACTCCCTCCCCCCTCCTGTAATGAGATGAAGATGCAGCACTTCCTGTTTACCTCGCTGTATCTCTCCACATGATTGGGTGGGGGGGGGGGATCACTCTGAGAATGATGAAAATGACTTATGTCCCCGAGTGTCAGCCCGAGGGTGGGGCGGCCCCTATCTTAATTAAATCTACATCCTCCTTACGTCATCATTCCCGACCTGTGTCCATAAACCCCGCGTCTGTCATGTTGCCGGCTGGGTAATCTTGTCGCGGCTGGGGGCAGCTTGACCAGCGGTCAGTGCGCTAGCAGGACGGCTCAACGGGCCGCACACGTCTCTCACTCCTGATCGAACTGCGGCTCATTGGGCCGCACACACCCCTCAAACTCTAGCACAACGTGCGGCTCAAAGGGCCGCACACATCGTTCGCCGTGGCTCGTAATTAAACGTTGGAAAATCCACTTCTCGATGTAATTGCCTTCAAGAATATTCTCTTTGCATAGCAATTTCTCACATAGCTTTTAGACGGGCCAGTATAATTAGAAGCAATGAATGGAAAGAGCCGCCCGCCCCTCCCGTAAAGAGGTAGTGGCACCCCCCCCCCCCTCCCCCCCTCCCCACCCCTAGCTTGTTTGCTCCTGGGCACAAAAACCACGAATTGCAAGAAAATTGGCGCGAAACCGTTTTAAAATCACTTTATTTTGCGTGAGTGTTACCCAGGCTCGATAGCCACCGCCCCACCCCCAGCCACCGCTCCCCCCACCCTTAGCTTTTCCCACCCCACCCTTCTCAGAGCCCCCAAGGGATAAATATAGAAAATGACAAGAACGGGAGGATTCGTCAAATTAGAGATGAGCATTTGGGCCCGTCTAATTGTTTCAAGAGAAATGTTCTCATTAGCATAAGGGCGGTGCCACCGTCAGGTCGCTGTCTGACTGTCTGTGACAGATAAAACATAACTGACTAAAACATGGAGCTGACTGTGACAGATAAAACATAACTGACTAAAACATGGAGCTGACTGTGACAGATAAAACATAACTGACTAAAACATGGAGCTGACTGTGACAAATGGAACATGACTGACTAAAACATGGAGCTGACTGTGACAGATGGAACATGACTGACTAAAACATGGAGCTGACTGTGACAAATGGAACATGACTGACTAAATCATGGAACTGACTGACCGTCTAAGACAGATCAAATCTGACTGACAACAACATGAAGTTTGAATGTATAGTATAATATGTTGTGTGGGTGGTGTTGGTGTGTGTTTATGTGGGTGTTGGTGTGTGTTTATGTGGGTGTTGGTGTGTGTTTATGTGGGTGTTGGTGTGTGTTTATGTGGGTGTTGGTGTGTGTTTATGTGGGTGTTGGTGTGTGTTTATGTGGATGTTGGTGTGTGTTTATGTGGGTGTTGGTGTGTGTTTATGTGGGTGTTGGTGTGTGTTTATGTGGATGTTGGTGTGTGTTTATGTGGGTGTTGGTGTGTGTTTATGTGGGTGTTGGTGTGTGTTTATGTGGATGTTGGTGTGTGTTTATGTGGGTGTCGGTGTGTGTGTTTATGTGGGTGTCGATGTGTATTTATGTTGATGTTGTGTGTGTTTATGTGGGTGTTGGTGTGTGTTTATGTGGATGTTAGTGTGTGTTTATATGGGTGTTGGTGTATGTTTATGTGGGTGTCGGTGTGTATTTATGTTGATGTTGTGTGTGTTTATGTGGGTGTTGGTGTGTGTTTATGTGGGTGTCGATGTGTATTTATGTTGATGTTGTGTGTGTTTATGTGGGTGTTGGTGTGTGTTTATGTGGATGTTAGTGTGTGTTTATATGGGTGTTGGTGTATGTTTATGTGGGTGTCGGTGTGTGTTTATGTGGGTGTCGGTGTGTGTTTATGTGGGTGATGGTGTGTGTTTATGTGGGTGTTGGTGTGTGTTTATGTGGGTGTTGGTGTGTGTTTATGTGTGTGTTGCTGTGTGTTTATGTGGGTGTCGGTGTGTGTTTATGTGGGTGATGGTGTGTGTTTATGTGGATGTTGATGTGTGTTTATGTGGATGTCGGTGTGTGTTTATGTGGGTGATGGTGTGTGTATATGTGGGTGTTAGTGTGTGTATATGTGCACGTGTGTCTTTCGCCCACTGGTGTATGTGAGTGTCTGAAACACATCAACAAAATTATTGTTTTGTATGACTGCACCATGTTATATATGACTGCACCAGTTTATATGACTGCACCGGTTTCTGCACCGTTCACATTTGCGCGTCAAGTTAACCCCATTACCGCCCAGCGAGCGCCATTATTCTTACTTTAACACTCCAACTCCCGACGCTGTCGATGTTTTATTACTTACATCTTAACCCTCTACTGGCATTACACAGTGTTTTATTACCTACAGCTAATCAGCTCAATCGTTTAAGCTCACAGCTCAGGGGCCGCCATCAAAAGATGAAGCGACCTAACAAGACCTACGTCTGACACGGGTGTGTCCAACACAGCCCTTAACCCCTGGACACCCGGCATTAGCTGCGGTTGGTGTCATGGGTACCATAAGCCCAGAAAACGATCATATTTTATAATCACGTGACAGAAACGCTTTGGGACACTGTAGTTTCGTACCTCTAGGCGAGCTCAAATATGAAATTAATTTTATCAACTGGAGGGGGGGGGGGGGGGGGACACGACTCAATGGCAAAAAGCTGCCAGTGGCGCGGCACGCTTATCGGAGTTTCCCGTTCAACTTTGCGCGCTGATTCGATTTTCCCGAAACAGTTTGGTACTATTTGTGACATCGCTTTCAAACATTGCCATATTTGCATTTTAATGGATTGATGCGGCGTTTAGGACGTGACTGAGATGTCAAACTCGGGACAAAAATTTGCTGGAAATCTTTTAATGGAAAACTCCAGAAATCAAACGGCTTTCTTGTCATTATTCAATCAGTCCTTGGTGGTTTTACGTGTAACTTAATCAGGTGTGGGGAGGGTGTGGCTTAGGGCGCGGTCTATTACTGGTCAAATATTTGTCTCAATATTGATAACTATAATATGTATGGGATGGGTGGGGGAGGGATAAATAGTGCTTTGTGGGTAGGGGTGAGTTGGTACAACGCAGAGTTGAACACGATGTTGTTAACATATATACACATATGACGCTAACGTTAAAACGTTTCTTTGAAATATTGACTGCTCTGGTTCGAAACCACCTAAAGTAAATGATAAAGTGCCACCCCCACCCCCCGCCCCCCACCCCGGAAAGATGCCAGAATGAAACACTGCATGTATGGGGTACATATGGGGGGTGGTGGGGTGTGGTACACGAGGGGAGTGGGGTGGTGTACAGGGGGGGGAGCGGTGTCTTCCCGTCTTGCTTGTTTTATTTCCTGTTGTCCCTTATCGCCTATGATTTATTTCTGTCTGAGCGAGGTGCGGGGAGACTTTCAGAGCTCAAGCTCCGGAGCTGAAATTTATTGGCGTCCACGAGTCCAGGAAATGGTAGTGGACATTAGTCTAGTGGTGTCCACTCGCAATTTCCTCCTGCAAACACAGCAGAAACAGCGGCTCATTAAGGCGGTGACAGCATGATGTACTCGCGCCCCCTAGCGGCCGCCGGCAGCCTAGCGCCCCCTAGCGGTGGCCACACCAACAGACAAAGGCC